CGGCGCGGGCGCCCTGCAGGCCGCGAGGCCTCCCCCGGGCCAGCACCGCTGCTCCGCGCCCCCCGCCCGGCACCTTGCTGCCATGTCCTCCCAGCCAGCTCTTCTTTCTTACTCTTTTCTTCTTATTTATTTATTCGTTTTGAATTGTACCGATTTGGCATGTTGAAACTGCACGTTTGGGTAGGTAGCAACCAAAACAGATTAATACAAGATACTGCTTCAGAACACACAAGCCTTCGTGCCTATGACATATCTTGTGTGTTGAGTTGTGTTGGAACTCAGCCGGGGAAATAAATAAATGATCGCAGTTTAAAGGTAAGTAGAAAAGTCCAGGAAACTTAGGTCATGGAAACATCTCTGATTCACAGCAAGATACCTTGGGCACTGCTGGCCTCTCGCTACAATAAAGCGCACCAGGGAGGCGAGCAAAGAGCCCCAAGGCGGCAGGCACTGCGAGCATCGCCAGCCACGGCCACCCCCTCTCCCACGGCAGGGCCACCAGGACCTGTCTCCATGGGCTGCAGCGGTGCCAAGAGCTATCCGCAATCTGGGAGGCCCCGTCGTCCGCACAGCTGGCTATGAGCACTGGTCCTAACATAACTGTATGCAACCACTCCTTCTGGTGGGGCTTGCTTTTTCCTTCTTTCTTTGCCATCATTACCTTTGTATTTTCTCATGTATTAGAAAATGCATTAAAAATACTAAAAGAAACAACAAAGACCCTAAACAGCTGTTTTGCTGGCCTATAACTGGTTCCTGGTATCCTAGGACAAAACATCAAAGTATGGAATAGGTCATAACTGACAGATACCACTTAATGTCTTTTTGAACATACGTGTCAACCTGATTAGCAAAGTTGAATGTCTTATGAAGCATTTTTTCCTAATACACAATATTCTTCTGAGAACTTATTAACAATGAGTTACATTAGTAATAATTTAAAGTAGTACTTGCCTTCAGCCCTCAGAAACCTTGAAGAGTTGACTTCCAAGAGGATAAATAGTATAGAAAAATATCCTCCTTCTCTTGACAGTGATTAGCAGCTTCGTCTGCAGCTTTGCACAAGTAATCAGATGAGGAAGCAGAATCTGTGGAGCTCACCAGAAAACACCAACACATTTCCAAATAAATGACATAGTTCTCAACATCACTGAGAAAAAAAGTAGGCCCTAATCCCAATCCTCAAGTGGATTGAAAGACTTCTGATTTCCATGATCTATGTATTAATCTCAAAGTAAACTCTGACCTGTAAGCTCTGACGCAGCAGAGATCCTATTCCCATTCCATTCATCCTCGGCCAGGGTGAGCTTCCCCATGCAGAGAACATGCTCAGCGACCCATGGTTTTTCCCCTCTGAGCTATCATGCATTTTTTTTAAATCAATTACTAACACCAAGTTTGCTTTCCCCCCAGACAGAGTCACCACATATTTCTGTAATTATTACTAGGGACAAGATGAGCGGACAACATTCCAGTAAAGCACAATGGAAACCCCACTGACCCAAGCTTCACAGATTCCTATCACTATCTTGGTACTGAGGACACACAGCACACCCAGCAACCCAGAGAAAGAATAATTTAAAAAATGTTCTTAAATGTACTTCCAGTCACACTCGTCACTCCCAATAATAGTAACATGCAGCAAAGTCAGAGGAGTGTAATTATGAGTGGGCGGGGTATTAGCTTTATTTTTACAATGCCTTTTGTCTGACCTACGGTTTTAGCGAAGTTCTGCCCTGGTGATAGAGCATGGTCTTCTATCACAACAGTCTTGTCACTGTGTCTGGTAAAGCTGTATCGTAATTAAGACCATCAACTTGAGGGTATATGTAATACTACTAGGTATTTTGCCT